TCTCCAAGCCTGGGGTTTAAAATATGAGAGAATAAGCAAAAGTCCCGAAATTTCACTTAAAATATACTGCCCAGTGATACCCTACGCGATCGCGACCCACTTCTTCGCGATCACGACGCACAAAAGTAAGCACGCCTCTAAATACACCATCGTGATTGTGAAATTGCCCATGCGATCACAAAAGCCAACACCCCCAACACCTTTGTGAACGTGTCGCTCTACACGCGAACGCGCTGACTACACTCCTAAGCCTACGCGATCCCTTTTATTTGCCCACGACTGCGGAACACGACCAACCTAACCAAGATCCTTCTTCATGATCGCACAGATACCTCGGGGATCGCGAAGTGCAAAACTCCACCTGCTAACTTCCTTTCTCCGTGATCGCGAGTGTCAGCTCCGCCATCGCGAAGCATTGCCCAGCACCAGAAAACCAGCAATGTAGAACTCCACTGAAATGGCCTGATATACACTCGAGCCACCCGGGACCCCGTCCAATCACTCCAACAAATCCATTACTTCCTGCGAACTTGTCCTAAGACTCGAAACATCAAAAACAATAACAACATCAAGAATCAAAGATTAAACCCATCTATTGACTTTCAAACATTCCAACTTCGCCAAAAGCGTCCGAATCATACTTAGACATTTCGGATTACAACCAAAGTTTGCACACAAGTTCCAACAATTAAATGAATCTATCCAAAGTCCCAAAATACCAATCGAAGTCCGGTAACACCAAAGTCAACTCCCCGTCAAACTTAAGAACCCTCAAATCCTTCGACTTGCCAACTTTCAGCAATTAGAGCCGAAACTTTCTAGAAACCTTTGAATCCAAATCCGAACACACGCCTGAGTCCAAAGTCACCATATAACCTATTGAAATTATCACATACTAGTTCTGAGGTCATTTTATTCAAGACTCAAACCTTAGTTAAGTCTTCCAACTTAAAACTTCCAAAACAAGAATTACTCTTCCCAGCCAATCTCGAACCTCTAGAAAAATAAAGTCAATCATACACACAAGTCATAATGCATCATATGAAGCTACCAAAGTCTCAAACCGTCGAACAAAATGCTAGAGCTCAAAACGACCGGTCAGATCGTTACAGATTCAAAAACTAAAACTTAGAGAAAGACCGAGAAATTCTTACAAAAACCGTAATTCAGTTTCACCAACAGCCTAATCAACCTCCATAGGTGAAAACAACTTCTATAAAATAAAATAAATAAATAAAATAAAGGGAGTATCTGAACAGACCGCAAAGGGGAAAATAGATGAAGAATTGAATAAGAAAAAGAAAAAGCACCCTTTTTTGACAATTCTGCTATTTATTCATTCATTTTCCAAATAAGATAAAGCTACCTTCATTGATTGCTTACGGTGATTATGTTCCTTCCATTAGTAGGCATATTTTGTTTCCATTTCAATTTAAGTAGGTATTTGAATATAAATTTAGTGGAAACTCGAAAAAACAAATCTTTGAAGTATTATTGAAAAATAATTTTTTGAAGTTAAAGTTGCGCTTGGGCATTTAATTTTATGAGTAAAAGAAAAGAATTTCACCCAAAAACTGGCCCAAATTAATTTTTTGAACTTGAATTTTTTTCTTTAAAAAAAAGGTAAAATAAAAAATATATATTTCCAAACAGGAGCTATTTTGCCAAGTAGCATTTCCAAACACTTTCATTCTTTCAAGCAGATACGCGGTAATGTACTTTGCCAAGTGCTTGCTCTAAGAACCCTTTGGCCAATCTGCCAAAAATTGCTTATTTTAAAAAGTGCTTTTATTCAAAAGTACTTTTACAAAATAGCAGTTTGTGTTTGGCCAATTCAATTGAGTAGTGCTTTTTGCAAGCTCGTTGTATTTGACCAATATTTTAACAAAGTACTTTTAAGTGTCAAATTGCGAAAAAGGGACATTAAAGGTTCAATTTGCGATTAGTATTATTTAGAATAGAAAATTAATTTTAATATTTATTATAAGAGAATTCAATTAAAATATAAAACGTAAAGTAAAAATATAAATTAAAAATTCCAATCAATATAAAACATAGTTATTCCAAAACAATAACATTGTGTGTTTGGTCTTACTTATTGTTTGCATGATAATTTAAATATGTCAAAATACATCATTAAATATAAATTTAAAATCTACTTTTAGAAATAAGAAAAAGAGAATAAAAATATGATTAAAATAAAAAAAGAGAAGAAATGTATAGTGGAAATAAAAATAAAAAGGAAAAGGAAAAGGAAAAGGAAAAAAATGTTAAATTAATAAGAGATAATTTAGAAAATATGAATTTATTTAAGGTTATTGTTGTCTTGAACAAACTAATTTTCTGCTTCTGCTTCTGCTTCTCGGAATAAGCTAGAATTTGTAGCTTCTTCCCAAAAGTAGAAAAACTGATTCGGTTGCTGCTCAAAAATAATTTTTCATTTTGGCCAAACACCTAGAAATTTTCAAAAAGTACTTTTTTGACAAAAAAATACTTTTGGCATCCTAGAAACTTGACCAAACAGGCTCTAAGGATTGCTCCTCTGTTTCATTTTTATTTTATGTTGCAATGAAATTCTTTATTTGTTCGTTTTAAAAAAAGGATATATTTTTATTTTCGAAAAATAATTTAATCCTATTTTTCTATTTTACACTGGATAAAATATTTTCATACTCCACAAAAATCTAATGACATATTTAATACCACAAGAGTCACGATTCTTTTTCTTTCTTTTTAAGCTTAATATCCAATCAAACAATACTACATAAATTAAAATGGAGTAACTAATAATTTTTTCTATGTTATATGAAGGAAAAAAGAACAAAAAGAAAGGAAAGAACTAGTACAAATTAAGACAAACAAAATAAAATAGAAAGAAAGAAAATGAAGTGGGAGTGGAGAACTTGTACACAAACTCCAAAATGTGAAAACACCACCATCAACACACGACAAAAACACGTACAATCAAAAGTTCCAACACACAACTCTCTTCGTATAGATCGCCTACGCCATCCGTTACGTTTTCCCATTCTTGATATTTCTCACATTTTCCTTCACCCTTCTCTCTCTCTCTCTCTCTCTCTCTCTCTCTCTCTCTCTCTCTCTCTCTCTCTCTCTCTCT